TTAGGTTAGGTTAGGTTACGTTATGTTCGGTTCCATGGCGACTTTAAAGAGTTATATATATAAATTTCTTTGTGGTGTCGTGAGTGAGTGATTCGTCTCTATACTTCTCAAAGATAGATTAATTAACAGTTGTACAAGTATGACCGCAAGGCCTAGACCCCATACCTCCACACAGAACAGTTTATATAACAGATATACTTATTACAGTGTGGCAATGTTTTGATTTTGAAGTTATGTCGTAGTGGATTGTAAGTTACTGTAGTCCGTTTGTTACATGTGCTGTTTCAGTCATATTATTTATTTCTATTTGTACTGCATTGCGTTGTTATAATGTCCTATCTATCTATCTATCTATCTATCTATCTATCTATCTATCTATCTAGCTATCTATTTATCTATCTATCTATACATCCATCCATCCATCCATCCATGCCATACCATACTATCTATCTATCTATCTATCCATCCATACCATACCATACCATACTATCTATCTATCTATCTATCTATCTATCTATCTAAGTTGGCCTCTGATTCAACACTACCTACAATAACACTACCGATAACATTACCAACACTACGACTACTAATTTGCTGTGATACAATGATATGAATTATTAAGAATGTCACCTTCGTTGGTGAACTCTGAGGTGACTCGAGAGGCCGATACGGGACCAGCAGGGTCGTTCACAGATGTTGCACGTGTGGAGGGCTACATCTAGTGCAGGAGGGGCGGCGGCAGCGTCATTCCGGCGTTGGCGTCTGCCTGTTTCGGTATGCAGTCGGGCTAACTCGAAAGCATTGACACCTTCTCGTGTGGTGCTTCTCCAAGCATTACGATGTGGAATAACAGTCTCCCAGGTGAGGGGGTCGATTTAGAACTTTTTCAGGTTTGTCTTAAGACTATCCTTATACCTTTTCAGTTGCCAGCCAGCGTTACGCTTACTATTCGTGGTGACTGTAAAGTAGCTGGTTTGGCAGTCAACTGTCGTCCATGCAGGTAATGGCCAGTCCAGCATAGTTGTTCATGGATAATGATAACCTCGATGCTCCTACTGTTGGTGTCAGCGAGAATACTGGCATTTGTTCTCTTGTCTTCCCAGCGAAGTCGGAGGATGAAACGTAGACTACGTTGGTGAAAGTTTTCAAGCGCCTTTAGGTGCATCCTGAATGTGACCCATGTCTCGCTGCCATATAATAGGGTGGGGAGGACCACTGCTCGATATACGTGCAAATTTGTAGATAATTTCAGCTCTCTACAGATGAAGACATGGGTACGGACTCTGCCAATGCCTTGAGATGCACATCTAATCCGATGTTGAATCTCTTCATCGATGTCTGCAGTGGTGGGCAGGTGGGAGCCGAGAAAGTGAAAGTGGATAATATTAGAGAGGCCTTATAGTTTATTATTTTATAAGTTGAATTTACAAAAAAAAATCATTAAATAAACTACCTTTATTTGAAATTTACAATGTCTTTCCTTTTTCCTGAAAAAAAAGTAGGGGGGTGGGGTAAGGGGGGCCCTCTCGATAAAGTGCCCGGGGCCCTAGATTGTCTTGATGCGGCCCTGGGTAGTACCGTTAAGCTTGATGGATGGTGGAGGTGTGGATGAACCAGGGGCGGGCTGAAAGATAATTTGCGTCTTACGTACATTCAAGACGGAAGTGTGCATACGCATCTGCATAGGTGTTGAGGATCTCCTGTAGGTCGTATTCAGTGTGAGTGACGAGGTTAAGATCGTCTGCTTACTGAAGTTCAGTAATGGAAGCAGCTGACACCTTTGTTCCTGCCTGGAGTCGTCTTATACTGAAAAGACCCTTTATCTGGTTCTGTATGTACACCCCGCCGACTAAATTGGCACTGGTATGGGTAAGGAAGGCATCCAAGAAAATGGAAAAGAGAGTTGGTGCCAGTACACATCCTTATTTTACCCCCATTTGAATGGGAAAGAACTCAAACTGGGTGCCATTGTCCAGGACACTGCCGTTCATGCCATCGTGGAGTTGCCTCATAACGGCGATGAATTTTGTTCAGCATACAAAACGTCTTAGGATCCGCCAGAGGGCTTCTCTGTTGCCCGAGTCGAAAAGCCTTGGTTAGGTCGATGAAGGACATATATGGGTCAAGATGTTGTTCTCTGCATTTTTTCTGTATCTGGCGAGCAGCACAGATCATGTCAGTGGTGCCAAGTGGTAGTCTAAATTTAGCCACATTGAGATTCTGGGAGGAATTTTTCCGCCTCAGGAAGAAGTCTGTTTAAGAGGATTCGGGCGATAATCTTGCCAGCTATGGACAGCAGCGAGATCCCGCAGTAGTTGCCACACTGCCACAGTTTGACCGGTCTCCCTTGTTCTTATAAATATTGACGATGGGGGCGTCTTTAAGAGCTTGGAGGATTTCCTACTTTTCCCATATATTCTCCAGGAGAGAGTGGAGATGGCTGGTAAGCAGAGGTCCTACTGCTTTATGCACCTTGGCTGGGATTTCATCAGGCCCTCAGGCTTTCTTATTTTTCATCTGTTTGATGGAAGTAGCTACCTCATCCAGGGATGGATGATAGCTGAGGTGGGTCAGCTCTGGATGTTGAAGGACCTGCTGGGTAGTCAGGACATCCACATCAGTGTTTCGGTTGAGCAGCTATTGGTGGTGTTCTTTCCAGATGATTTTGCATTTCTAAAAGGTTTCTCAGATCAAAACAAAGAGCGTTTGCCAGCTAGAGTAATGCATCTCACATCAAAATACAGAGATGATTTTGATTCTGATTGTACTGATGAATTTGAAATTTTTTGTGATCATATTGAAAGAGTAAATGATTCACCACTGTCGATGCTCAAGTTCATAAAACATCAGAATTTGGAAGCAACTTTCCCAAATGTCAGCATAGCTTTGAGAATATTTCTGTCATTGCATGTCACAGTGTGTGAAGCAGAACGCAGCTTCTCAAAAATGAAACTGGTGAAAAGTGAAAGGCGTGCTACAATGGGCCAAGATAAGCTGAACTGCCTTGCCATCATGTCCATTGAAAGCAATCAACACGTGTGGTTGACTTTGAAGATGTGGTTTCCCAGTTTGCTGCTATGAAAGCTCGAAAGGCTAACTTTTAGTTAACTATATCGATAAAGAACTTCATCTAGATACATTTGTTTCTTCCAATAAATGAATTAAAATCAGACATTCTGATTACTACACTTTTGTCAGATTTAATTTTATTGAAAGGTAAATTTCTGTTTCTGAGTAATCTAAGTACGACTGCTAGTAATGAATGTATGCAACTTAAAACTTAAAGAGAAAACACTTGAAATGGCCTTATAGTTTATTATTTTATAAGTTGAATTCACAAAAAAATAATTAAATAAACTTCCTTTATTTGAAATTTGCAATGTCTTTCATTTCCTGAAAAAAGTAGGGGAATGGAGTAAGGGGGGGCCCCTCTCGATAAAGTGCCCAGGGCCCTAGATTGTCTTGATGTGGCCCTGTGTCGACTTGTTACCTCCGTGGAGGGAGCACCACTGACGGCAGGACCCCGGCGACAGGTCTGCCAGTTCTTACGTCTCCAAAGAATAACATTTCATCTTGGTTGTGAATAGAAAAGTCTGGGCGGGTTTTTTTTTTTTTTGTCGCCTGCGAGATATCCTGCCGGTAGAAAAATAATTTTAGTTTTTCTAAATCTTCTTTGACGTGTCTTTCAGTGAAAAGATTCTGTCTATAAGAGAACACGTTCCACCAGGTTTAGTCTGAAGTATGAAGTTTGATGATCAATACACGGAGCTGTGCATCATATAAACACAAACATACTTGTATGTATGGGCTGCCAATGCCCACCTGCGCACCGGCAATACATAAACAAACAGTTTTGGCCAGGTACCTCGTACACCCCACTCTTGTAAACAATAGTGTGTGTGTGTGTGTGTGTGAGGGGGAGGGGGGCTAGTAGCCTTACCCAGAAACTAATGAACTTCCCTCAACCTCTGTCAAGAATGCTTTGTTATATTTATTTCTAAATACTTTCCATTTGGTAACCAAGGATTCTAACTCCTTATATTTAATTCCATGCTGTAGCTTTATACCTAATCATTAATACCTATGTAATTTAAACTGTAATTAACGATTTCATCAGTGATTCGCTCCAAATTGTAATTGGGGACAGAAAGGCTTATCCATGTTTCATCCCTCACTGCGGCTGGGGATTATTATTGTCGTGTTCGTTTACCTCTTCATCTTGTCACAGAACTCACAAGACCTCTCCCAATGATTACACAGCAACGTCTTAACTATAATTCATTTTAATTTGTGCACAATAATTTCACATTTATATCATGAAGTGTGATGTTACCGTCAGCTTACAGTGTACCTGACGCTGTATCCTGTACTATAGTTGATGATATTGTCTTCCCTCTTATATTATAACATATATAATTATATCATACTGCACCAGATGTTATTTTGCACTACTTATTATAACTTAAGATTATACTATATTATATTTAGTATATTGTATTACCGAATAAGTGTTACCCCATATTACATCTTGTGTTGCGCCTCATCAATGGTGGTATTATTATAAAGACACAAGTATTTGAATGTTTTTTTATTTTTACTTCATCACATATCTCCTTACTGCCAGCTACTTCAGAGAGTGGCACCCCATATTGACCATTGTTCCCACATGAGAAAATCCTGACTCCACCAGTGCCTCTCGTTATATACTCACCATATACATTGGGTTGAAATCTATATTATAATAACAGTGTTTCACTTCATGTATTTTTTAATTATAAATTGTATAAACTATTAAACATTCACTAGTATAACCAAAACGTTTTGAGTGGAGGACTGTGGTCGCCAACCTTCAGACATGATGACGGTCCTATGATTGATTAAGCATAATCATCCCAACTCCACTCTTCCTAACTACAATGTCTAATGTTGTACAATATTATAATGATATAGCACTGTATTGCATTGTGTTGCCCCGTGCTTGATGATTGACTGTGTTGCAGGTGTCGTTGGACTCTCGGGTGCGGGAGATCATCAACAGGAACATGGTAGACCCGACGCCGCACACCTTCGACGAGGCGCAGACGCAGATCTACACCCTCATGCACCGGGACTCTTACCCTCGCTTCATTAACTCCGCTATCTACAAGCGGCTCGCACAACTCAATAATAACGGAAGCAGCAGCAGTAGCAGAAAAGAGAGTTCGACATAGGCGTGCGCGCGTGTGTTCCTAACTGTCTCCTCTACCCCGCCCTCCTGCTTAACCTCCAGGCCTCACAGTCTGTGTGTGTGCTCTCACTCAGCGACCTTACAGTGCACCCTTTTCCTTTTTTTCTGAGATGGGGACCAGGAATTCATAAAAAAATAATCGGAGTGCGTTTAATGAAAAACGGGAATGGGGTAATGCGGTGGTCACAATCAAAGGATGAGATGTAAGTATATAAGTTTGTAATTAAGTTTGAGCATTTGTAAGTAGGTGAATACCTAAGCTCCAGTGTTCATCACTCTAACGCACAGACACCGCAAACGTGTGATAAGTTGAGCAGCTCAACAGTGTGAGCCAGACCAATGCTTGGTAGATTAGATGTTGTTGTTTTTCATCATTTTGTACCTCCTAGGTTGTGCTACCATTTGTTGTTCAAGAGGCATGAATTAGGCGCAGATTTGCATAAAACATGAAGCACAAAATGCAACTCAATAATCGGTAATTAATCACGACAAAAACACAAATATTTGCTAACGTGAAGAAACCACGCATGAGAGAAGCACTATTCAGTTTCTCCCCTAAGATGCTTACATACAGTAGAGACGGTAATTTATCTTGTCAGAAAAGACAGTACAAATAAGTTTTAAGCTGAGAACGATCGTGTCCAAAAATAAACTGCCACCCACATTATTTGCCTACAATTAGAAACGAGTCAGAGCCTTAGCAGGTTACAGGGAACTGGCCCAACACCCCGGGCCGGCCGCTATAGCTGACCCAGCACCCGGGGCCGGCCTCTATAGCGGGGCCAACACCCCGGGCCGGCCACTATAGCTGGCCCAACACCCTGGGCTGGCCGCTAGCTGGTCCAACATCACGGGCCGGCCGCTATTGCTGGCCCAACACCCCGGGCTGGCCACTAGCCGGCCCAACACCGTGGGCCAGCCGCTACACTTGGTAGTAGCAGAAATTATTCCCCTTGGCAGGTACATTAAAAAGTTATACAAATGGATTTGACTATATTTTCTTCTTGTTTAGATTTTAACAGACTTGACGAGAACTTTATAAATGAAGGTATTACTATAAATAATATTGAAGTTATAGATGTCTTTAGATTTTATTGATAGTATAATAAGAAATATGTGAGTGGTTGGTGCCGTTAGCACACTGGTGACGAAATGTACCTTAATAAGCTCTTTAGCTATGTAAGATACTCAGTAAGGTTCACTCCCCCGGTACTGTACGGGCAAGTGGTACATAATGAAGATGTGCTCAAGGCTTATTATGGCAGATACCGTCACATTCCAAGTATTATTTAATATGAAAGAGAAAAAATGTCTATAATTAATAGGTTTCCAAGTGAAGGTAATTTTGTACCTTGGATCTTATAGCAAGTTTTACACAAGTGAACTGTACTGTATGTGAGCTGAATGCATATCCCGGTCTTGTATATGCAATTATATAAACGTATATATGTATGAAGTTACTACCAAGTAAGATACTGTATATCGCCCCCTCATAGGCTAAGAAAAATGCACTTACCATTTGTTGTTTTTTTCGAAGTAGTGGGGAATGGAACTTTGTTTTAGCTTTTATTTCATGAACAAACAAACAAACATTTTTAACTAAAAAGTCCCGACGCCTCTGGATGACGAAAAAATAATTAACCCTCTTTACAATAGACTTAATATAAGAGCCGTAGTGTGTTTAGACGTCCTGAAGACCCTGGAGGTCCCACGAGGCCACCCTACTGCCTCCTACTTGACCTGAGCTGACCTGACCTCCCTGTGTGATCCCCACGCAACACATGCACATCACAGGAAGGCAGTAGAAACAAACCATCAGGAACTTGTTTGGCCGTGATGTCATAATACATTAAGCCAAACTCAACCTAACCTAACCTAACCTAGGTAACAGTGTATCAGCTCTATTAAGTTATATTAGGTTTGTTATGTTTATGTTCTCTTGTCTGGAAAGTATTAGTGCACATCATCCTAGGATCCGGGTCAATAAACAATCTTGGAATTTCATAGAAAACTAACGTCATATAACCAGATCTGCTCCTGACAGTTTGTGCCTATTTCCTTACTACATTATACTGTGTTGAGGTCTTGGAGGTGTCAGCAGGGGTGAGAGTCAGCCCGCGAGTAGAGGGGGTCGAAGGTGGTGACCAGGGCACCAGGAGCTTCAGGGTCGCCGCCAGGCTGCAGGCCAGTACTGTTATGACTATTCTTCATCTCCTAGGTATTTGTATGTAGACAAAAAAGGAAGTATATGAATATGTCAAATTTAAGGAGATGTCAATGGGACATCATGTTATACATCCAGGCTCAATATTTTTCCTGAAGGATGCTGGACGAATTACATAAACCAAATACTCTTTTTAAGTCAACTTTTGTGACAAGTCATTACCTCACTTTTTACACGTATTATCTATACAAATGTTTAATATTTTTTTTTCTTAGCTTCTTTTTATAGAAAATACACATGAATACCAATGGCATTTCCTGTGTAGTAATTAAGGGATTATTTTAAAATAAAGTCCATCACAGCAAAGATATAAGAGGTTCTACCCCTCAAGGTGTCCAGCAGCTGTCAACCCACGAGTACATGACAGTGTATGATGTCCAAGTGGTGTGCTAGAGCCCTCAACACAAGGTACCACAGGGCCTAGTTAGCATGCAGTAGGGCCAATCAGAGGGGTGCAACAGGGCCAATCAGGTTTGTAAAAAAGCCTACCAGATGGGCGTGGCAGGGCTCACTAGAATGACCCGCAAGGGTCCATTGTATGTGAGAGAAGGCCCTCCACGTGTGAGAGAATGTCCGCCTGAAAGGTGTGACGAGGTCCATCACAGGGTGTGACAACATCTGACACCATAAGGATGTGACAGACATATGCCAAAGACAAGCATCTAGTCTTGAGTGCTCACTGTGTTTGTCTGTGATCCAACATGGCTACAGTGTCGTTAGCCTTGGGTCACAGATTATACTGTCTCACAAATTTCATGTTGTATTACAGTTATTTTGTCAATTACATATACAGTGTATATGTTTACCATTATTAATATTAGATCCATATTCCTACTATAATTTTAATGTAATTAAAATTGCTAATCCTCGATATATAGCAATATTCGTTTTTTCAATGTTAAGAATTCGGTCCAGTCTTTCGGTGGTGCATATTTTTTTAATTTCAAGAATCGGGACTGGATCAAGTGACGCCATATTGTATTCTTTTTTGTAAGACCTTTTTCGTATCGGCTGCAGGAGGTGCTCTGGCCTGCCACTTTAGGGACACACCTCTCACAAGCCCACACTGCAACGTGTCAACACAGTTCTCGCACTACCCTTATTGAGGTCGTGATAAAATCCTGTTAGAAGATGGGTTTTAGAGTGCCGTTCATTTCACTTGAATGTAGTGTTGCAGGGAAGAGCTTGTGAGGGGCGTGTAGCCGAGGTGAGATGGAGGGCAGCAGCCTCCTCAGCCTCCCGTCTCTGCCAGGAGTCAGTCAGTTGTCTTGTGTCGTGTGCATGATTTAGTGAATGGATGCAAACTTACTTTTTTCACATTTTATTCCATGCTGTCTTATGTATTTTTCAATTATATGAATGATGGTGTACTTTTCATGACTAATAGATTACTGCTGTAAATAGTTTATGTAGATAAAGAGGCAAACATAAATTTACTCTTGAATAGTTACGTAGTGTTTATGATGGAATATAAGTTATCAGAATGGATATGTTTCACCTTCTTTGAATATCCCTCTTACAAAAGACCACAAAGCACAAGAGGAGTCTTCAGTAAATACAGTTAGGGCAGTGTGTCTCCCATAAGACTGTAGGAAGTACTATCAGAGGCCAGGCCAGGGTGCCAGGCTCCATGCCACCACAACCACCACACCCTCACCTGGCCCTGCCCGTCCTCCCCCCCCCTACCTCACACCACCCACCTCATGCCACTTCCACTCACCTCACACCACCCACCTCACGCCACCCTCCATACCCACCTCACACCATCCACCACCCACCTCACGCCATGTCCATCACCCACCTACCTCACAACACCCGACCCACTTCACACCACCACTACCACCTACCTCACACCTCTCACTATCAACACCACAGTAGTCCAAGGCCTGAAACGCTAGGAATTCACGAAATTTTCCTATGCAGAGACAGTGGGGAGATATTACCAATGTACAGAGATAACTAACACTGATAGATGTGTTCGCTGAAAGAGCATTACTTGTACTTCATACTGTGTAAGCACTCAAGAGACCATAACCTGACCAAGGCTGAGACCAGTGACCGGTTACACTACCACCATGAAGGTGTAGTTAAGGCAGGTGATGGTCCCTCGCCACCACACACCCCCTCCCATTACTCCTGCTGTTGTATGTCTGTCTTCCGTACACCATTATACAGTAATTACAAAAACAGATATTAACGATGAATATTTCAGAATGTATCATTTATCATTGGTACGTCTGTGAGCATGTAAGCAGCTACCACAACGACTGTACCCAATTTATCCATGCAATAATCTTTCCCCCAAATTTGTTTCCTGTAATTAAAAAGAATAAGAAGTCATCTTCACGAAAGGGTACTCGGTTCTATAGCCTTAATAATAGTTTTATAACGATGGCATTGAACTCACGATCTAAAGAAAGATGTCACATGTGTAGAGATCTCACACACACACACACACACACACACACACTTGAGGTCATTATTGTATACCATATTTCTTAACCACTCTGTATATCACAGATGTTAATTACAGCTGGTGTATTTACCACAAACTCAGCAAAACAATACAAGTCGCCATTATATGAAGGAGATCGTTATAGTTTCCACCCTCCCTCCCCATAAAAAAAAGAAGTGGATTTTTCGAATAAAAAATTACGGGATCAGTAATTCATTATTTGATATACCTTCCATACACCGTTACTATGGACAAACCAAACAAATTACATACTGTAGTGTTGGGTGATATGTAAGTTAGAACAAGGGTGCTCAGTATGTGCTAATGTATAATATAATAGCGATCGAACGCTGGTATTATAGGAAGCGTTTTGTGCTGTCATAGTCCATGTCTTTCATCAGCGGATTTATGACATTACATATTATCTCCTTATAACGATAACACAGTATAGAGGCAATATTTAAATAATTATAGCTGCCATGTGCATTCTAAAGTTACTACCCCCCCCCCAAAAAAAAACCACATACATATTAGTTAACAAAATATTGGTTAAATACAGTATCACCTTACATTCTGGCTTCGTTATGCCATGGCTTCATACTCAATATCGGACATCCTAAAATGTTCAGTTTAATGGCCAGAAGATCCCAAGACATCTAAATATAGTGACAGAGAAGCCCAGCAGTTATTTATGACCCAAGGGGGCTAAGGATACTTAAGACTCATAATAAATCAACATCTAGCCGGGGTTTTGTTCGGTGTTAATTTGGTTGTGGGGTTTTATTTGTATTCTGGCCACAGATCGCCTCCCCCCCCCCAACCCCATCGATCACCACCACCACCGTGACACTTGACCGTGCTAGTGAAGATACCTCTGGTGGTGTCTGTAGTATAATGTGGACAGTGAAGGCAGAATTATACGACGACCATAATGGTTCGACAGCCTGTAGAAGTCGACACCTAGTCTAACGTTAACCTGACATTGATCCTTCACCCTGACCTAACTCTCCTTACCTTTGCCTTATGTTTCACCCTACTCATTGTTGTCATTTACCTAATCTTGACCTTGTAAGACCATACCTTAAGATCTGTCTGTTTTCTGTCTCCATTATCATACTTTGTGTTGCCAGTCTAATTACAAACGTTATTTTATAACCTTAACTTGACCCCTTGAAACCCTGGTGACATGACCTGACCTCTCCCTGTTCAGCGTGTTCATCTCCTCTTAATCTTCCCTTGGATAGAAACCTTTCTTGAGAGAGCCATATCTTCTAACCTTGACCTTTTTCACTCTTATCTTTGACCTTCGCTTTGAATTTAATTTTCGGCCTCAACAAAGGTAAACGAGTTATGTTATCTGGACTCTTCAAAAAATAAGATTTTAAAAATATGGTTTAAATTTGTGATCTGAGTATATAAAACAGGTGTATTTTGTCAAAGGTCACGTACTTTTTATTACCGCGAACTATTGAGCAGTTAACAAGAGCTAATATGTAATGTCAGTACTCGTGACAAGGGTCATACACAGCAAGGCTTCATGTCACATTGCCCCAAAACATCTACGTCACATATACGAGATTCATGATTGAAAATATTCTTGTTCTACAGCTCGAGGTAACGGATGTTGGGTAGGCCTCTGCGGCACCCGGAGTGTGGCAACAATCAGCAGGGTGAGGGAGGTCCGCGGTGAAGGCGTTTACAATATTACGAAACAGTTTTATGAATTAACAATAAAATAATATCTAGGATTTCTCTATCTTTTCAATTACCAACTTTTGACTAAAATATTACGTCAGTTTTCAGTTTAGTGAAGCATGTTTCCTTAATTACTGGTGCGTGGCAGCTTGCCTTGTAATATTTGGATATACATATTAAAATAACTCAGATTATCTGTGAAATGTCTTTTCTGGAACACTTTCAACTTTAATGTGATAAAAATTAACACCCGGGTACAAAGAGAAACAAGTTGTTACGCTCACTGCCACATGAAGAGGTAGTGGTGATAAGCCGCTGTCAGCATCTTCTTCTGTTGTATACTGTACATTGGTGAAATCTAATATGCATTCCTCGTCCAGACCCGACCAGTGTACAGGAGCTGGTGACCTGAGCTGTTATGGCTTCATAACAGCAGGATAAAAACAAACACTTTGATCTCACCAAACATGACACCCCTTCTTGGCCGCTTCGTGATTTTCACTATTCAGAATATAATATAAGCTGTGTAAACTGAATTATTGTAACTTTTAGCACTATATGTTCATGGCGGCGAGTGTCACTGTTGCGGCGGTGTTCACGACCAATGTCTAACGAAACCAGTAAAGGTACAAGAGTAACCGATCTTGTCATAATGGTAATTGCAATTTACTCAACTTTCTACCTTTGATGCATTTTATGTTTATAAGATTCAATTACTGTTATAACAAAATAATAACGTTGTGTTATTAGTAGTGGAAGCCAGAGACTCTCTTAATACAATTATATCAGTCAAGCGAGGCCCTGAATTTCTCTTAATCGACTTCACAAGAAGTAAATTGTTGCGTTATCCTAAGTTCGTGGACATAGAAAATATATTTCTCAAAATATGACGAAAATTTTCGAAGTTCATTTTAACTCTCAATGAAGTGAGTTTAAGAAAAGAGGTGTGTTGTGCCCACTGTATCGAGAGTCACCTGGTCCGGTCTACAACTGGGTCACCTCTCAGTAAGATCACTGAAATCTCTCACAAACCGAATTTATACCAAACTTCTTCTGCTGGTTATTAAAGTCAGACAAAAAAAATATATAACTAGAGAAAGATGGGGGTTGGGAACACGGACTTTCGGCTTAGACTTGGAGTAATTATAAAAAAAAAGTATAATCTGCATTACTTTGGTTGACGAGGCAGAAGGGAAGTGGAGCAACTCTCATGACACACTGAATTACTATGTCCACTATCCAGAGTTGCTCTTATAACACAGAGAAACGTGTTTGAGCACTACTTACACATAATTCACTCAATATACTCTTGGGTGGTTGTGGTGGTGGTAACTGGTAGTTGATGGTGGTGGTGATTGTGGTGCAAGTGGTGATTGTGGTGTAAGTGGTGATTGTGGTGTAAGTGGTGATTGTGGTATAAGTGGTGATTTTGGTACAAGTGGTGATTGTGGTGTAAGTGGTGATTTTCGTACAAGTGGTGATTGTGGTGTAAGTGGTGATTGTGGTGTAAGTGGTGATTGTGGTATAAGTGGTGATTTTGGTACAAGTGGTGATTGTGGTGTAAGTGGTGATTTTGGTACAAGTGGTGATTGTGGTGTAAGTGGTGATTGTGGTGTAAGTGGTGATTGTGGTGTAAGTGGTGATTGTGGTATAAGTGGTAATTGTGGTGTTACTGATGACTGACGTATTTGGGGTGATTGTGGTGTAAGTGGTGATTGTGGTATAAGTGGTAATTGTGGTGTAATGATGAATGACGTGTTTTTGGTGATCGTGGTGTGTGGTGATTGTGGTGTTACTGATGGCTGACGTGTTTATGGTGATTGTGGTGCTAGTGATGGCTGACGTGTTTATGGTGATTGTAGTATACGTGGTCATTGTGGTCTTATCGTTGATTGTGATGTTACAGATGGCTGATTTGTTTATGGTAATTGTGTGTGTGAGTGGTGATTGTGATGTAATTGGTGATTGTGGTGTTAGTGGGGATTGTGGTGTTACTGATAACTGACGTGTTTATGGTGATTGTGGTGCTATTGATGACTGGCGGGTTTGTGGTGATTGTAATGCAAGTGCTGGTTTTGGCGTTAGTGGTGATTGTAGCGTAAGGGGTGAATTTGGTGTAAGTTGTGATTGCAATGTTAGTGATTAGAATGTTAGCGGTTGACTGATGTGTTTTTAAAGGCTTCGGCAGTAATTGAGATGTTAGTGGTGAAAATAGTGGAGGTGTTGGTGGTGGTGGTAGCGGTGAGAAGCGAGGATTGGTGGTACTGGTGGTGGCAGGCCGAGGTAACACTCCCGGTAGCCCCTGGTGGTACTGAGGCACGGGTGTCCAACCAGCTGTCTGGGATATAATTTTCTCAAGGATTTTATTTGGCAATAAACATATGATTTAACTAAGGTTGTTGAGAATCTATATGACAAGGATGGGAGTTTGAAAGACAATGCAACCCCCCTCTCCATTTTCCAAAGAGACGGTCAAATGTAGCGCCACACTCACAGCTACACACTGCCAGCTGATGCCCTCACAACACGCCGGGGTCAGTCACCTGGCTCGTTTAACTCCTCCAAATGTGTAGTAGATAAACCTACCGTACACACTAGGGTCCATATTGTCAAAGATCCGTATGTTATTTCTTCCTCTAGATTATGGGTAAAGGTCTCCGCATCTCAGCAACATTTCGACAATACTTTAGCTGTCATCTTCAACTTAAGTGAGCCAGTTAGACGCATTTTCACATCTCCAGTAAAGGGGATATTTAACATACGATCCTTTGAGAGTTCTGGTCAAGATTACGAGTATTTCGCTAAAAGAGTGATTCAATTGCAATAAGTTAGAAAAGGTTTGAGGGCAGCGATCTCTAGTTCTGCGTGGTGAGTGTGCCGCTCCATTTGAGAACATTTTCAGAATGTAACTCATAATTTAGACTATTCCTGGATGGTTATTACTGTTCGACTCCTTCACACACTTTTGTAGTAACAGTTTGAGTGTATGGTTAAGCCATTACCTGCCCATTTTCCATTCCAGGAAACATGAGACGTTGGCTATTTCCCTTCCAAGAAAACGTAATTTCCCTGCAAGGAAAACCTAACAATTCATGTTCACATATGTAGATTAAGATTTGAAAAAAAAATTGTAATTGAGACAGGTGAAGTATCATCCTTCTAGAAACATGTGAAAGGTATGTCACGTTAATTTATACGATAACCTCAACAGGTCATTTTTGTATCACATATAAAGTCCATATTTCATTATACAAGTAAAATTTTGATTATATGATATGGGAAGTTTATTACATTCATTAGCACTTCGTTGAGTTACTAAACTTTATACGTATTCAAAATTTAAACAAAAACCTTGATTAGATTAGCTGAATTTCAAAGAAAAAATATCACAATGAATTAATAGGCTAAAGTGTGGAAGAACATTACCGAGATTTGAAGATTTGAAAATATATTATGAATCCAAAACACCAGCAAACCTTACACAGGTAACTAAAGAGAAAGGTTATCCTAGTCCCACAGTGTCTCGAGCAGGAAGGTGAGATGGTATTTACAATAATTGATTTCCACTTGTTCCTTTTTAGGTATTTTATGACAAGTTGAGCGACTATGAGCCTTAGCGAGAAGGGCCGCAGAAACTATTCACATTAGGAGCTCGAGTTAACAGGTGTACGCTGACCCTACCTCCATCATGTCCGCACAGCGATCATGGACGCTACGAGGAAGTGCACATGATCGCTTGAGCCCACCTGGTGGACGCAGGTGAGGACGCCTGCAACAACACAGCTGACTGGAGGTGCCTCTGTGAATGGAACTGAAGTGCTCACGTTCATTAAGAGAATCAGTACGAGGATACTTACACTTTACATTCCCTAAATATCATAACCATGTTCGTGGGCAGACACTTAGGATAACGTAAGTGAATGTTGTGGTAAGACTCGGTTTGCTGGCAGACATAGGAGTACCTTGGTTGGCAGAAGATGTTTGTTGTTTAATGATGACTATGACATGTATGAGTTTAGAATGTTGTAACATAAGAAGTAAATGACAACTCTATGAATTGATGGATGTTTCATTATTTTCCTTTCCCAGCATTCTCTAGATTTTGAGGATGAGACTACTGATTAGAGGAAAAGTTACGCTGTTAGGGACAGAAAAATAAAGTAAAAAAGTAAATAAATAAACAGAGAAATAAAGACAGCTTCAAAGTGAGGTAAAGAGTAAATAGTTGCTTTAACAAAACTAATATGTATTTATATGTGTTGTAAATGAAAGCTTAAAAAAATGCTTTCTTAAATAAACGACACAGTATCTTTGATTTGACATTCTGTGCTGACATGGTTTACACAACGAGGCAATCAAATGGAAGTCTATAAAAATATCAATAGACAGAAATTTTACACTATTACAAACTATGATTTAATGAGTGTAGTAAGATATACATTATTAATGTATATACTTAACACATCTGTCATTGCTCTACAGGTATATACATCTTAATAATAATAAACAGCAGTATCATCTTCATCATCATCATCATTAGAATCGTCATCATCATTACTATCATCATCATTGTCGTCAATATATCATCATCATCATCATCATCATCATCATCATTAGAATCGTCATCATCATTACTATCATCATCATTGTCGTCAATATATCATCATCATCATCATTAGAATCGTCATCATCATTACTATCATCATCATTGTCGTCAATATATCATCATCATCATCATCATTAGAATCGTCATCATCATTACTATCATCATCATTGTCGTCAATATATCATCATCATCATCATTAGAATCGTCATCATCATTACTATCATCATCATTGTCGTCAATATATCATCATCATCATCATCATTAGAATCGTCATCATCATTACTATCATCATCATTGTCGTCAATATATCATCATCATCATCATCATCATCATCATCATTAAAATCGTCATCATCATTACTATCATCATCATTGTCGTCAATATATCATCATCATCATCATCATCATCATCATCATCATCATCATCAGAATCGTCATCATCATTACTATCATCATCATTGTCGTCAATATATCATCATCATCATCATCATTAGAATCGTCATCATCATTACTATCATCATCATTGTCGTCAATATATCATCATCATCATTATCATTAGAATCGTCATCATCATTACTATCATCATCATTGTCGTCAATATATCATCATCATCATCATTAGAATCGTCATCATCATTGCTATCATCATCATTGTCGTCAAACTATCATCATCATCATCATTAGAATCGTCATCATCATTACTATCATCATCATTGTCGTCAATATATCATCATCATCATCATCATCATCATCATCATTAAAATCGTCATCATCATTACTATCATCATCATTGTCGTCAATATATCATCATCATCATCATCATCATCATCATCATCATCATCATCATCATCATTAGAATCGTCATCATCATTACTATCATCATCATTGTCGTCAATATATCATCATCATCATCATCATCATCATCATCATCACCCAGTTCATGAAGGTACGCTGTGACAGCAACGGTCACATCACAGCAACACATCACTGTACACTTAAGATATTTTCTGCTAAGAACAAGACAGTAAAGAACATGTACAGTTGCCTCCATTTATAAGGGGTACAGTGGCTGGCCTGTGAGATGTGGCACTACTGTTTGTTTACATCGTGGTAATACTAGCAGAATGAGCACAACTGCCCTAGCTATAGTAACAATAATAATAATAATAATAATAATAATAATAATAATAATGATAATAATAATAATAATAATAATAATAATAATAATAATAATAATAATAATAATAATAATAATAATAATAATAATAATAATAATAATAATAATAATAATAATAATAATAATAATAATAATAATAATAAAGAAATACAAAAAAAGATCAAAAGTGAGAAATGATATTTGTATGTTGTGTTGTCAATAGAAAGAGAAACAATTCAGACCTGCAATTGTGTGTAAATGAGGCAGAAAGTCAGATCAGCAACCTGGGACTTGGTCACAATTTTTGTGATACCATATGGCAGCAGGGTCTACCATTAGACAACACATTGTGCTTCCAATATCTTTCCAGGCGGCAGTACCTCCCTGTTTGGTAGCTGCCTACTACCTACTACATGGTTATAGCTTTAAAATAAATTACCAAGTAGAATGCCATTGGCTCTTATCTGTCGTTTGGTGGAACGATGGTGCCACAACTCACAAAAGAAACAAGCTAGTGAATGTACCCGGTATAAATGGAGGCAATTGTACACTGCACAAGGTCCACTTACCTCGGGAGGTGGCAGTACAGGTGGTGGTGACTGGTTAGAGCTGCTCATCACCTTCTCTCTATCCAGATACAGTCTGTTGAAAAATAATCAACTGGGTAGTGTCATCTTGCCACCAACTAATGGCTTGGTTACTGTTATGTTCTGGGTAATAAGTTCAATATACAGGAGCGAACACAAACACCTGTATAGATTTTGTAGGTTCGATTTACTGGATAGAATATTCATACCACCAAAAGGAGGTAATATTAACCCTGGCACCATACATCAGCTGCTCTATGAACGACCGTCATGTAGAGTACATTAACCTTCATCCGTCGCTTGAGCACATTAAAACAGGCATGTGGGACATCTTAAATATGTGCCACACGCTACTAGCTAGGCTGAATAAATAGTACATAAATGGGCTTTAATACATAGTATATACATAATATATAATCCAATATAATATATCCCTCCCCCTATACGCTCTTTGTAATCCGAACGGACAGCACTTCTTTTTCAGGATCCGTTCTGAGCGTCGAGGACTAGATCACTGGGAAGGGTATGGGACTCCTTGCACTGATGGCGGGTCAGCAGAAGGCGGTGTTACAGGGCGGAAAGCAGTGGTTCCTCCACCACACGACCACTGGTAACCGCACCTGACCAGTCCCGTATTTTCTGAGACCCATGACTACGCCTGCTTTGTCCCAACGTGGGGTCGGGTCCTGAACGGACTTGGGTGCCGACCTCAGCCTGGGAGAGGGCGTGGTCGTTTATGGCGAGGCCGACGACGATCCTGAACTCGGCGGCTCGGCGTCCACAATCCTCTGTCTTAGCCTGCCACTCCTTGGGAAGGATTGAGGTGAGCAGGGACACAAGAACGAAGGGGGCGTCCACGCCACAAAACCTGGGCAGGGGGCGTCCGGTGTGGTGCCGTGTGTTGCGGAGTTCAAAACCGTCCGAGCCTCGCGATCAATGTTTGGGCTATGGGGATGGCGGTGCTTCAAGGTTGTGTAGCCTCAGCGTATTACGTTGGACTGCGGGTAATGGGGCGATGACAGCATGCGGACTCCCCATCGATCAAGGAACACAGCAAAATCGGCTTGTGGACGGGGCCTCCGCCGGTTCGCAGGCGCGCAGGAACGCCCACGCCAGCAGTGGTGGCGGAACGCACCGATGGTATGGCAGACTGTCGTGTCGTACCGCGCTTGATGACAACCGGCCAGCAGAGACGGTCGGCGATAACAAGGAAGGACTTTCCTGACACGAAAAAAGTCGGCCGACACAGACTCAAAAGGCGGGTGAGGTTGTCGTCACTCATAAGGGTTCCTGCTGCTGGCTGGGTTGTAGTACGTCGCGGGGCTTGCACACTGGACAGCATTGGAATGTCAGGGTCGATGCCAGGCGGAACACAGTCTGTCTTGCACGTCGTTTGGTGGCCTCAGCTCTGGCGTTGTGACTCTCGTGAAGAGCGGAGGCAAGACGTAAGGGACGTGATGCAGCAGGGACAACTACCGAAGGAGGTCACTGGCCAGAGGTAGGGGTAGGGCAGCATGGGTAGGTGCTGCTCCTTCGTGCACCCTGTTGGCCGTATTTTACCTCCAGAATCAGTGGTGAGAATCCTGGGAGATGATGGCCAACTCTTAGCAATGTCTGTGGGACAACAAAGGTCAGGACGCCATTATGCACGTCAATCCAGGCCTTGACCTGTTGCCGAGTGACATGTGCATAGAGCAGACCTGGGGCTGCAGATGAACCATCTGCCGTGACGCAGAGGTCAGCAGGAGAGCGGTCCTGAATTGTGGAAACCCCAGCATTGCAAATGCTGGGGACCGATGACTGTAGCATCTAGCGCCGGTGTCAGGCAACATCTGAAGACAGGATGACCACACTGCCGCAGGTCACGGTAATGCCTGATGTACTGGGGAACTTTGGTCCTGGGATGCGAGTACACCCTCCTAATATGGGTCGGGCTTTTGTCCGGGGGTCGCGTCGTCCCTCCTGAGTTGGCGCGACTGTGGCCCTCTCTGGTGGAAGGGCGCTGAAGCTTCCGCAAACCCCTATCCTTGGGTTTGTGGGTAGGGCAACACTTGTCATAGTGGCCCAGACGACCCGCACACATTGCACTGTGCGATATGGCTGGGCACCGTACTGCTTGGAGACGACCAAAAGTGGCCTCCCCGGTCTACAACTGTTGCGGAGTAGACTGAGGGCTGGACACTTGCCCTGTGTTTCCGTGCTTACCACAGTTGTTACAACCACGGTTGTCGGTTCCCACCTTTGCATTAAAGTCGCCTAGAACTATCTTTATATCTCTGTCCGGAATACTACTCAAAACATCCTGTAGTTGCTCATAGAAAGTATCTTTCGCTTCATCTGGTGCGGTATTGGTAGGCGCGTAGCACACTACAATGCTCATAATAGCTTGCTTAGGCTTCAGTCTAGCTAGCAGCATTCTTCCTGCACCAACTGGTACTCAACAGTAATGTGACGCCATCTCGTCTTAAATCATCCTCTCTACCGGAAACAGGCAAGGTGTATCCATCAGGTGTCACTACTCGATTCATTCTTCCCAATCTTGTTTCATTCAACTCCATAATTTCAATCTTGTACTGTTTGAACACTCTCTCTCCACCTGTTCAAGTTTACTATCCTGTGTCATTGTTCTCACATTCCATGTCGCAATTTTGAAGTGTCTAGTACTGCTAAATCGGGAGATTCTTAGCACCCCTTTTCGCCCTGGACTCGGGGCCATATCATTGTTGTCAATCATCATAATGGTTGGCGAACCTTGGAGGATTCATCAGCTAGGTACTCCAGAGAAGAAGCCACCTCCTCGTGTAGCGCAGCTCCCATCTAACTTGGGCAGGTGACCCCTATCATAAAGAAAAGCGTCCGAAATCACTGCCGGGAATACAGTCTGTCGTACCCCACCAGGAATTTCACCAGTCAACCCGCTGCCAGTGACTTCAAGTAGTTCACAGAATATCATCTGCTACCCATATATCGCTTGGACGACTAGTCGAAGTCGTTACCAGGGTGTACCACGAGGAGGAAGAGATATGAGCTGAGTCATATGGGTGATCCAACCCGCTAACCACCTTATTAGCTCAAAGAGCGACTGCTAGTGGGGGAGAGGTACTAGCAGAACACAGCTAATTCGCTGACACACGGTAGGACGCCATCCTCCGTGAGGCTCCACATTGTCTCACTGTTTAGTCCCCAAAACTTCTTCTTCCATCAATAGTTCATTATCGGTGTATGTAAGTTCCACCATGGTTTTCACTACAACAGCAGTAAAGTATATTTTTTAGCATTAAACTGTTATTATTTTATTGTCTAATCATCACTACATATAACACCTCCCCATCACTACATATAACATCATCCATCATTACTACATATAACACCATCCATCATCACTACATATAACACCATCCATCATCACTACATATAACACCATCCATCATCACTACATATAACACCATCCATCATCACTACAGATCGGTAAAGTAGTTTCCGAGATTCTCATGTGGACACACAGACAAACAGACAGACTTCTTTGTTTTATATAGATATAGATCATCACTACATATAACACCACCCATCATTACTACATATAACACCATCCATCATCACTACATATAACATCATCCATCATCACTACATATAACACCATCCATCATCACTACATATAACACCATCCATCATCACTACATATAACAATATCCATCATCACTGCATATAACATCATCCATCATCACTGCATATAACACCATCCATCATCACTACATATAACACCATCCATCATCACTACATATAACAATATCCATCATCACTACATAAAACACCATCCATCATCACTACATATAACACCATCCATCATCACTACATATAACACCATCCATCATCACTACATATAACACCATCCATCATCACTACATATAACACCATCCATCATTAATACATAACACCATCCATCATTACTACATATAACACCATCCATCATTACTACATATATACACCATCCATCATTAATACATATAACACCATCCATCATTACTACATATAACACCATCCATCATCACTACATATAACACCACCCATCATCACTGCTATAACAATATCCATCATCACTGCATATAACATCATCCATCATCACTACATATAACATTATCCATCATCACTACATATAACAACATCCATCATCACTACATATGACACCATCCATCATCACTACATATAACACCATCCATCACAACTATATATAACACCATCCATCATCACTACACATAACACCATCCATCATCACAACATATAACACCATCCATCATCACTACTTATAACACCATCCATCATCACTACATATAACACCATCCATCATCACTACATATAACACCACCTATCATCACTACATATAACACCATCCATCATCACTACATATAACACCACCATCATCACTACATATAACACCATCCATCATCACTACATATAACACCACCCATCATCACTACATATAACCCCATCATCATCACTACATATAACACCATCCATCATCACTACATATAACACCACCTATCATCACTACATATAACACTATCCATCATCACTACATATAACACCACCATCATCACTACATATAACACCATCCATCATCACTACATATAACACCACCCATCATCACTACATATAACACCCATCATCACTACATATAACACCATCCATCATCACTACATATAACACCATCCATCATCACTACAGATCGGTAAGGTAGTTTCCGAAGATTTATAGATATAGGAGGGGGGGGGGGGCTGGGACCTAAATTGACACGAAACTTTGTAAAGAATTGCTGGGATAGGAGCTTCATCTCTCACCCAAACAGTTTCCCAAATCACTTAAAGAAGGGCGAATTACAACACATAGTGGAATGGCCTACCTGTATGGGTGAAGGGGCGAGCACTTGCTAACAGTTTAAATGCCCGCGGCACCCTCACTCAGAATACGCCAGGGAGTCCACCTACTTCTATTTCGATGAATTAATTTACTGTACACTCTGACGTTGAAACTGAGACTATGAACTCAGTTTCATTCCCTACTATTATCCTCGCTAACAATGCTCTGACTAAGCTATCAAAGGTAAAATTAAATTGATTACAAAGGATTGGATGGCAACAGGTCCCAACATACAGCGTCTTGCTACGAAATCCGCGGATTATATTCAAAGTTCTCTTTAGACAAAGACAGCCTATCGATGACGTCATCAAGGAAACAGAGAAAACGGGGGACGTTTTCACTGGGGGACTCGGAAGGTTTTGTGGACGTTTGAGCGTAATATGAATCCTTAAGGTTTTCAGGTTAGCCGTCATCACGATCATGACAGGTGCCGACATTTGCTCACAAGAAAAATGCTCACAAGACAAATATTCACAACATTAATGGAAAGGTTAGGTTCGGTTTGTCTTGTGACTTTGTGGACTTTGTGAGTATATGACCTGTGAGTATTTGTCTTGTTTGCATATGTGGAACAGTACTGAGACACGGCAGGGCAATCCGCCTCAGAAACTCTTTTTTTCAGCCCTTCTACACACTGACCAGGCTTTGTTCCTGGATTTACCACACACCTTTCTATCCTGCCTGTCATTTGTCGCGACCCATATCTTAAAAATTCTGAATTTTTTATTAACTGTGTCAACAGTCTCGAGGTTCATGAGTAACGGCCACCTTGTAATCCTGGTGCCAGTTTATGATATTCAGGGTAGTATCTGTCTTACTGCAGTATTCTATTAGTAAAGCCAGTGAAATCTCCTTTCCCTTCTTCATCCTGTTGTAATCACCATTGTAATATATTAACCTTAGCCTACACTCATGTACCAAGCAACAGTTAACTCTTAAGACATCACGTGATGGCTAGTGTCAACGACGGCTAAATGTTTCCATCTGGCTATTCTACCCTCCTCGTTAGCGATGATGAGACCCAGCGGGTTTGGTGTTTGTTGTCCTATATAGTGCGTCGGTTCTTTGACACCCGGGAGGAGGCGAGCGCCTTGTAAACAATGACATTTCTAACCACACCCTGCAAAATACAGTGTACTTAGCAAATGCTGCATCTTCTGAGAATGGGGGTGGGGGTGGGGGGTGGGACTACTACTAAGAGCAGAGACGTTACCGAGAACAAATTCTAGCTTGAATGTCATTTACACTAATACTGACACATCCCTTGATAAGAGACAGGAGTTTAAAACACTACTGAAGGTACACCAACCAGATATTGTAGGAGTTGTAGAACTGTTGTACAAGAACAGGAGAATCGACCCAGAGGAATGTGAGTTCAGTATTGCTGTATATGACTCATTTACGAACCTTTCTCAAGAAACTTGCAAGGGGGGTGTGGTTATTTATGCAAGGCAAGACCTTAGAGCCAGCCAGGCGAGGGTACAGGGAGAGGATGTTTTTGAAGAGTCCAAGTGGTGTAAAATTAAACTAAAGGGAAGGGACTTACTTATTGTCGGGTGTATCTACAGATCCTCAAGCTGTGGCCCACTAAATCAAGGGAACTTAAGAGCCTTAATAGACAACACGGCGATGCTCAACCCTAGCCACCTCCTTATCATGGGGGACTTATAACTATAGCGACATCGACTGGAGAAACGAGTTCACCCCAATGACTTGAATAACCCTGCTACTCTTTTTGTAGAAACTCAGAGATCATTTTCTGTTCCAACATGTTAGAGACTCATCACATTACAGAGGGGAGCAAACACCCAAGCCACTATGTCATGATCGTGATGACGGCTAACCTGACAACCTTAAGGATTCATATTACGCTCAAACGTCCACAAAACCTTCCGAGTCCCCCAGTGGAAACGTCCCCCGTTTTCTCTGTTTCCTTGATGACGTCATCGATAGGCCGTCTTTGTCTTAAGGGAACTTTGAGTATAATCCGCGGATTTCGTAGCAAGACGCTGTATGTTGGGACCTGTTGCCATCCAACCCTTTGTAATCAATTTAATTTTGCTTTTGATAGCTCAGTCAGAGCATTTTTAGTGAGGATAATAGTAGGGAATGAAACTGAGTTCATAGTCTCAGTTTCAACGTTAGAGTGTACAGTAAATTAATTCATCGAAATAGAAGTAGGTGGACTCCCTGGCCTATTTTGAGTGAGGGTGCCGCGGGCATTTCAACGGTTAGTAAGTGCTCGCCCCTTCACCCATACAGGTAGGCCATTCAACTCTGTGTTGTAATTCGCCCTTCTTTAAGTGATTTGACCCAATTAATAGTTGATTGTGCAAGTGTTACAGTAACGTAGTTGATATGCTCTGAGTGAAGTCATATTTACGTCTTTAACGTCCCCTGAAATGTGATGTCGTTGTCACTGTTAGTAAGTGCTCGCCCCTTCACCCATACAGGTCCCTAACGCAGCCTAGGCCGTGTCTGTAGGGTGGATGTTGTATCCAC